CAGGTGGCTTTCACCTCCCAACCAGGGGAGAAGCTCAGAGCTAAACATGCAGCCCAGAGTAAAAACAAAGAGCTGTCTGTCTGGCTTACCTTTCTACGTCGGCGTTCACCTGGTCACAGAAGCGCTGGATGCATTCCCAGTTTTCTTCAGGGGTGCTCGGGTCGGTGGCTTTATCTTACACAGAGTGGAGGGAACAAAAAGTTTTAATAAGTAAGTGAAGAAAGCCCAGCCTCAACGCGAGAGGCAGCACAAGGCAGGAAGCAGCTCAGACCTCACGCTGCACCGGCTGCTTTAGGGCTTTTAGGAAGAGAGGCAGAAATGGAAGAGGCAGGATGAGCAGGAAACAGCTGTTGTTAAAATTTGCCTAAAAACCCAGTCCTGAGTACATGCTCTTAAGTTAAAAGAGCCAAAGTCAGGCACAAGCCGAGGTGTCGAAATCAGCAACAACGTGACGCTGCTTTTTGCACAGAGCCTGAGAAACTCTTTAAAAAGCAGCTCTCCCAGGGCTGGACTGCAAACCCTGCTGCGCTGGGACACAGGCACGGTTTACCCTTTTGCACCTGAATTGAGGAAAATAGTCTAATATTTTTTGTTTTTCGGCTTTACCCACTCCAAGAGCTTTGGCAGGACTACTCCCAGCCCCCAACCCCACTCACTGAGCCACTGCTCCAGCTCCCCGCCGCCAGCCATGGAGTCTCGCTCCGCCCCAAGCAGGAAGCAGATCCACTCGCCCTTGCTCCTTGCCCGTGGCCGCTCGTCCCCGTGGGAAGCCCACGCGAGTTTCTCGTGGCGTGGAAGCGTAGCGCCGTGGGCTTGGCTGGGTCAAACATCCCACACGCACAAACACCCCCCCCTCCGGCTGCTCCTCCCCTCACCGGCACGCAGAGCGAGCAGGCATTGGTGAGAACGGAATCAGAAGTCACCACGTTAATTTAATAATTGTGAGGTCACCATCCAAAAGAGGAAGAAACATCCCAATCTCCCCGTCGGGGATATTTTTAGCGGAACCATGCGGGGTGACACAGTACACAGGGAGGAGAGTCCCCTTCCTCGAGCAGCTCACTCTGCCCAGCAGGATGTAGAGGCAGCTAAGAGGGCAACAGATATAACACACATATTTTATTTATTTATTTATACATGTAAAGATACCCTCCTCGTGGTATTTGTTGGGGTCCTGTGCAGTTGTACCTGCAGGTACCCTGATTACAAGATCCTCTCCAAAGTGAGAGGCGAACCATGCTGGTCTCAGAAACAGCACTGCTTCCAGTCCACACGGTCTGAATTTAAACGCTGATAAAACGTCCCTTTCTCCCAACCTGGAAACCAGGCTGTTTGCATGAGATGGAAGAAGAAGGACAGACCTAAATCTGTATTTGGTTCCTCTCCCAGACGAAGCAGTTTATGCTCACTGCAGATACATACGGACCTGGAAACAGCATGGTGACACCTGCCTAGTCTCAAGCCTGGCTCATCTGATCAGAGATAATCATGCTGAGATCAAAAAACACTGGTCTGGGACAATGGCACGTGCTGTCTTCACCATCTGAGCCCATGGCTGGCTGACAGCGTGACTTCTGCCTCGCGTTAGCTGGAGAGTGCTCTGTGTACTCGTCCACACACTTCCCTGGGTCCCAAAGTCACCATCATCTCGGCAACGCTCGGCCCATGCTGAAAACACATAAAAAGTCGTTGTACAAATGGAAACTTACACTTTTCAGCACGCGTTCGTGCATCATCACGACGGAAATGATCGAGCGATTAGCTATCAGATTGCTGTTAGACCAAGGGCAGGAGTTTCGTTAGCAATCTCAAGACAAGGGTTTAGAGTTTTTCTCTCCTGAAGTAAAATGCTAAGAATGGCCACACTGACCCAGGAGGATTGATGCCAGAGTGTAAGCCAGGACTGGGCTTTGAAGGACTTGGAAAATTTGGCTCTGAAATCTGTAAAAGCAGACTGCACATAAAACCCTAGTTTTGCCCAAAACCTACAACCTTGCCAACACTCCCTACAGCTGGTCCAAAGGTTTTTCTAACTTCAGCTTTGTGACCGGCATATTCATGTTTTGACAGCTTCTGCCCTTCTGAAACTTTCAGAACAGCTCTTTCTTCCACTTGCTCATAACAGACTTGTGTCAGTTCTTCTGAGATGTCCAAATACCAGTATCTTGCTATGAGAGAGAAGAGAGCTCTTAAAACTAAAAAAGGTCCCAGTCTCAGAAGGTGGTTATTCTTTTTTTTTACCTGCTGCCCACTGAGCACCAGGCGGAGGAGCTGCATCATGCTGCTGTACTTGGTCTCTTTGGTTTGCTTCTGGAGGCTTCTCAGGTCTTTGTTCAGCTCCTCCACCTTCAAAGCAGCCGCCTGCCTCGTCATGAGCCTTTAGGAAATAAAACATCCTCACAATCTAGGGACACACAAAACACAGGATCGCTACCCAGAAATGACTGATGACTTTGACGACTGGCGGCTGCCTCAGACCACAGGAAAAGCAGCCGTTCTGATTTCTTTTTTAAGAATACGATTTTTAGAGATGCTGGAGCCGTTGCTGATGCTACTCAGCTGTAGATAGCTGTACTATTATCCCTCCAGGATAGTGAGCATTCCAACATTTAAATTGCTCTCGCTTGGATTTGGTTACCACTCAGCTGTGACAAATGACTGAGAGCAACCAACTTTACAGAAAACTGGAAATAATAACTCAATTTGCCAATACTGCCACCTGAGTTACTCCCAAACCTGGTTTTCAGGGCTCATTTTAGTCCAGATGTGAGATCTGAAGGGGAAAGGTGACTGCCATACCGCCTCACCCAGCTGCGAGGCGTGGAGTAGCAGCAGTGAACATGTTGGTAAAATCTCAGAAAACCCACAGACACAGGACTGTCTGCCAGCCCAGTAACACTTCTGAGCAGACAGAACTGCAGGCTGCCAGCTAGGAACGAAGAAATGGAAGTGGGAAAACCTCCCAGGGATGAGGTTTTCAGAAGTGACAGTAATTCCAATGGGACACAAACTGCTTTTGCTCCAGAGACCCAGAAGCCTCATTATGTAACCTGAGTACACGTTGACCAAAACCACCGTGTGCTTCTCAAGCTTGGTGTGACAGCAGAGGAGCTCAGGTGCCCACACCTCTGCTTCACGAGCACCACGCTGGCACACAAACTCTGCTCAGTGCTTTACAAAATCCAGACATGGCACTTCTTGTTTGAGAGCAGCGATGTGAGCTTTCCCCCTGGCAAGCTGCCTTTCAGTTAAAGCCACAGAATTTCTCACTGGTCGTTAACTCCAGCACATTCCAAAGTAGAGCAGATTAAATCAGAACTATGAGCATGTCCAACATCGACAGAGCAGCCAAGAGCAACGCTCTGGGGCGGGCAGGTGGCTGTGCACAGGGCTGGGAAGAGACACTTACCCTAACACTAGTTTTCCTATTTCATCTACTTCTGCAGAAATAGTTTGGAGTTGCTCTCGGGACACCGAGGGCCTAACCCACAAGTAAGAATAATCGGACGACACCAGGTTCTTCAGGAAGCTTATGTGACCCTGGAAAAAGAAAGAAAAGCTGTCAAGGTGGAGGGTTAAGCTGGAGGAGAAGTAAACTCCTTCAGTCTGGACTTCACAAACAGGTAAAGAGGATCCAAATACATCCCCGTCTCGTACCTAGGAATTCCCTGACATTCTGGATTTTAACACCGATCACCCCCGGGGTGAGCAGGGAGACGGCAGCAGCCCAGATCTGCCGAGCCGTGTGTGGGCTGACTCAGCGCCCTGGGGAAGTGGCTCACCATTCCCCACGGCCATCTGGCCTTCAGCAGTCAGCAGGGCGTCACATGAGGCACTGCCCCTCACGCTGGAACAGCTGGGTCCCTTCCTGCCTCCACAAAGGAGGCTTCACTCTTCACGAGGAATCCCCCAGACACTGCAGCGGCATCCCAGGGGCAGACTGGGAAACAGCTGGGCTCACCCTGCTCCGAGCGTCAGGAACATCCACAGTATCTTCTATCCCCTTCACCGCCAGCACTCTGCCATTGAACTGAGACCAGGGCTCTCAACACACAAACCCCACCAGCTTAACCCCCGAGAGCTTCACCTGCCTCTGCCAGGAGGTTGCTGGGACTTTGCTTCCAACGCGTGGAGCAGCAGCAGAGCAGAAGCACCTTACGCTGCCCAGTCAGGAGGAGCTGGAGGCGAGCAGTGTCCTGGCACGAGGGGCCCCAGGTGCTGAGCTTTCCCACCACAGCCAGCGGCACCCCGGGCTCCAGAAGTGCAGCGAGGAGGTTGTCACCACTCAGCAGGACAAAGCCACAGCTGACCCGACCCAGCTCAACTGACAGCCCTACTCCGAACAGGAACCGGAGAGGTCTCGCAAGAGACATCCTACAATCCCGTGACCGACCTCTGCTCAGTCTCTGCTCAGAGGCTGCGCTTTCTGAAGTTAACGGCACGTTTCTGCAGACACTGTCTGCTACCAGAAGTGACAACGCCTGACGTCTGCAGTCACTGCCAAGGGCTGCTGTGCAGAAAGGCTCTGGCTACTTGCTCCTATACTGACCAAGGTCATTGCAGGATCTTGTGCCCCACCCTGGGATGCTGCAACTAAAATGTTCATAAGTAAAAAGGTGGCACCTGCAGAGAGGAGCAGACAGGACAGGTGATTCAAACCTCACCGACACAGTATTCCATTCCAGATACATCATATTCAATATATAAAGCTTTGGGATCACGGGGGTCAAGCCCTCTTCTTCAACTGCTGGCACCCGAGGAGGACTCGGTTTGTTCTTTGCCCTCAGTCGCGATCTGTGAGTTCCCGAATCCAGTTCCTGAACCCAGCTCCCACCAGCCCCAGTGCCTGCCCACCCTGCAGTGCCAGCAGTGATTCATTGGGGAAGTTTTGACATTGGTTTTGTATAGTTGTATATGTATTTCATTATTTTAATTATTTTATTAATATTGCTAATGTTTCATTAAAGCTGGTTTAGTTTTCTAGTCTGTAAGTCTCTCTCCTTTACTCCCTTTTTCCCTTCCTCTTTGGGAGGGGAGAAGGGTTAGAGAGCATGTTGTTTGTCTAGTGGCCAGCCCAGCCCTCACCCTCGACACTCAGCAAAGCACAGACGAGCTTATGACTCTGCAAAGACCCCCGGGATGCCCACCACGCCTGTTCCGAGGGTCAGCGAACTGTCAGGTAAAGAGGATCCAAATACACCCCTGTCTCGTACCTAGGAATACCCTGACATTTTGGATTTTAACACCGATCACCCCCGGGATGCCCACTACGCCTGTTCCTAGGGTCAGCGAACGGTACCATCAGGTTTCGACAGTGAGCACACACACAATGCCTCGGGCAGGAGGTGAGAGCCCTTTGCAGGCAGGAGCTTCAGAGCTCGGATCAAAGCAGTGCCCAGGACTCAGCTGAGTCTTCACCCAGGAATCCCACAAAACCTCAGCTCTCCAAACTGGCGACACAGCGCTCCCACTGCCCATACTTTTCTCAGCAAAAGGACTCGCTCCACGTACTCCTCTTCTAGAACCTCTCGATCCACTTGTTGATCCCCATAGACGTGCTCCACCAGCAGCTGCAACTCCCTAATTAGCTTCCGTCGCAGCCCTTCGCTCTCAATGTGACGGGTGAGGTGAATCCTGGAACAAAGAACAACACTGCTTTTCCACTGATTTGGGTTAGACCGAATCTAATC